ACATTGTATGAAGAGTTATACTTTTTTCTTCTAATGAATAAACATTTACGTTGATACAATAGTGTAATTTATTTTTCCAAGCTATCAAAAATTTTAATCAATAATATCCCGTAACTGCATTTCAGTTTTTATATTTTTTTCAATCAATAACCCGTATCTGACATAAAAGTTGATCACAAATTAATTTAAACTAAAACTGTTTATAAAGAATAACCAACAATAAATGTTGCATGGGTATTAGCATTAAGGCCGTTCCTTGCGTTTCTGGGCATACCTAAGTTCCAATGTAAAAGTTTATATCAAATAACGCAAAAACTATGGCAGATATTGAGATGATTCTTTTTTTATATGAAAGGTCTTAAAAAGTTCTAGTGCACTATTTAGTTGTAAATTAATAAATTGTTTAAACAATATTTTTTTTTCAAATATTTTTGGTTAAAATAAACGTAAAAAATTTTTTTTTGAAATAGGGCACTACAGAATTTGACCCACTTTCCGAATCTGTTTTTATTTTTAACATAAAGTGTAACACAAAGCAGCTATTTGGTATAAACTTTTTTTAAAATCTCAAATTTTGCTAAATGTAACTTTCTCTCTCGGCCAGTACAGGCTGTCCTTGTCGATAGTTTCTGGATTCTCGTCGACACGGTTAGGTTGGTTAGGTAAGAAGTATAATACCCTCTCGAAGGTGGGTCATAAATAATGTTGAATAACATTATTAGGGTTTATTTCGACTTTTGACAAACCAGTGTGTTAATTGTTTTTAAAATGGGTAGTTCACGAAGAAGTTTATGTTCCGATTGAGGAAATTTTATATAAATAAGCAGTACCTATAATAAGTACCTATAATTTGATTAAATTTTTATATGAATAGAAATATTTTCTGTTAATTTGTAACATTTTCCTTCTAAATGTTTATACTGTTTTTATAATAATACTATTGTTTCAGTATTTGCTTATATAATAATTTATTATGTAGAAACAGCGTAGAATTTTGGTCAATCAGCCAGTACATTTTTTTGTATTTCAATCAGAATTATTATTTTCTTTTCTTCTTTACATAAAAGCTTAGAGTAATACTCAAATATTTTGCAGTATTTGAATACGGAATTTGATTATTTATATTTATTGGACAATACCCAAATATTTTGCTGTATTTGAATATGGAATTTGATTATTTATATTTATAGGAATATTTATTTTCAACGTTTTTGTTAGTAAAGTTTACATAATATATGAAGTTTGTTTCTTCACTTGCTTGTCCAGCCATATTAGTCCAGGCTAATAAGGATTTTCTCGTGACACTCAATAATCCAGGTAGCTGACAACTTTTTTAGTTATTGTAGACCTATAAGAAGAAAACCTACCTGTTTCCTGCGTAAAGTTCGGAGCCGTTTTTTAATGATTAACAATTAATGCAAAAAACGCGATTCTTTCGATTTTTGCACTCTATTATTTATTTATTTATTTTTACGCACAATAGGCCGTTAAGGCCTAAAGCATTTTTTTTACAACATAATTCTAATATTAACTAATTACAATTATTTTAAACAAAACTTTAACGTAAATATGTATATATAACATTCTTAACTACTCTGAAGGACCTGGTGTACAATATTTTTCCATTCGCTTCTATTTTGTGCTTTTTTTTCCATTCCCTCACCTTCACGTGTTTAAGGTCTTCCTCCGCTTTACTAATCCACCTCGTTCTGGGTCTACCTCTTCTTTTGGGGTCGATTAATTTTCTGGTTATTACTAGTTTAGGAATTCTGTTTGCTGCCATTCTTTCCACATGTCCCAACCATCTGATTCTTTGTGCCTTGACGAACTTGGTAATAGTAGGTTCTTTGTATAAAGCCATTAATTCATTGTTGGTTCTTCTTTCCCAACCATCTTCTGCCTTTCGTCCTCTGAATATGCATCTCAATATTTTCCTTTCCCATCTTTCCAGAGTATCCTCTTCCTTCTTATTTAATGTCCAGGCTCACCGGCATATGTTACTGTGGGTCGAATTACTGTTTTATATATTCTGAGTTTACCTTGTCTAGAAACGTATTTTGAGTTCAGTAGGGCTCTTAAACCACCTAATTTTTTATTCCCTTTTGCTATTCTGGCTACGAGCTCCCATTTATCTTTTCCATTTTCATCGAAAACTACACCTAGGTATTCAAATTTGTCCACCCTTTTAAAACTATAGCTTTTACCACTTACTGACCTCATACTAAAGTCTTCTTTTTTCCCTTCTGTTCCTTCTATGATCATATATTTAGTTTTGTCTTCATTTAGTTCCAATCCAAATTTCTGTGCTTCTTCGATGATTTTCTTCACAACTCTTCTTAATTCTTACTCGGTTTTTGCTAGGATCGTTAGATCATCAGCAAATGCCAAGCACTGGTGCTCATTTTTCATGATCGTTTCTTCCATCTTCATGCTGCATTTTCTGATTACAGTTTCTAATACTAATTTGAATAATGTAGTGGATAAAGGATCTCCCAGTCTCAAGCCTTTTGCAACCGTAAATTGATCTGATATGTGACCCTGCCAAGCAGGGTGCTAACAGGTGAAGATGCTAACAGAGTAATGCCTCTATAGTTCTTACAATCCAGTTAATCGTCCTTTTTATGCAACGTATATTATTTCATTTAGCCACTCTTCTGGAACAAATTCATTTTGCCATATAAGTACTATTAGTTTATGGGTTACTGCAAAAAGCTGATCATCACCTTTTTTTATATATTTTCCAACAGATTTAATCGATTCCTGTGGCTTTATTGTCTTTGAGTTTTAGGACGGCATTTGACACTTCTATTATTGTTGGGTGTTCACTGTGTAGTTGTCGATGTAGATTTTGTTGATTGTCTATGTTGTAACCTCTTTCAATATCGTTTATATCATATATTATATAAATATATATATATATATATATATATATATATATATATAATATGATATAATAATAATGTACTTATTCTTCTTCTTCAAGTTCCACTCCTATCGGAGATTGGAAATCATTCTGGCAATTATCATTTTGTTGGATATGCGCCTGAATAGTTCAGTTGAATTGCATCCAAACCATTCACGGAGATTACGTAACCACTAGATTTTACGTCTTGATGTGTGATGTATGATGTGCCCCAAGTATTCTAATTTCCTGATTTTTATGGAATTTAAAACTTCGCATTGTTTTCCTAGTTGTTCGAGAACTTGTTCGGTTGTTTTGCGATCCGTGACCAAGCTTGAATCCCATATAAAAGGGTAAAGAAAATATAACATCAAAGCATTCTTATCCGGAGCGATATATTGATATCTCGATTACAAAAAAGTTTTCTCGTTCTATTAAAAGTTGACCGTGCAATTCCAATGCGGCATCTTATTTCTTTTGTCTAATCAGTATCTTCTGTGATCCATGCTCCAAGGTATTTGTACAAAGATATTTGTTCAATTTCTGTATTATCTAGTACTAGCTTAACTTTGATGCTTTGTGCTTTTGTAAATACCATGAACTTGGTTTTCTTCAAATTTATTTTTAGTCCAAAAAATGTACCTATAATATGATATAATCCTTATAAAATGTCTTCCGACGTTCATTTTTCATTCAATTCGGTTGTTCCATTGTTCTTTAAGTTCTTTCGAGCTCATTAAGTTTCTTATTCCTTCCATCCGTGTTTTCTAAGGTAATCCTCTCTTCTGGATTACGGTAGGTGTTCATACAGGTACTTGTTTTAGGAGTCTCTTGTCTTTCATTTATTGGACCTGTACCCATTTGAGCTGCTTTCGTTGTATGCCATCCATGACTGTACCTTCTATTCTCATACTTTATTGCATTAAGTTCGACGAGATATCTTTCTTCGATATTAATCTGTCTCTGTTAATCGTCGTGTTTCACAACCGTATAAATAAAGCATGCTTTTTACCACAGTTTCATGGGTTGTAGTACTAGAGAGAGCATGTCAGCTGTGCCAAAACGAAAAATAATCCTCCTTATTGCTTCCACTGGAATAAGCTTGACCATTTAACTGGGCCCGGGCTACCTCTTTCTAATTCTTTAAACTCCTGTTTTGAAATTAATAATTATTTTGTCTAATTACCTATTTAGTTGTCAAAACAGATACATTGTTAACTAAAGAAGTGAAAGTGGTTCAATTTAGAAATTATATAGTAAATAATAAATATTTGAAAACTGATGCACATATTCCTCCCGCGATTTATGCTTCAAGTACTAATTTTATAAATCGCACTTCTACTAATAGACGTAAATTCTTTCATTTTAATTTCATGAATGTTTTTATTCAACATTATTTCAAAACCACACTTAATAGAAGGCCGCCCAGTCGTTTATTGTATAGACCCAAGACTTTACACAATAGGGGGTTGTATAAGGTAGGTATAAAGCTTACCTCTAGTACAAGATGACGTTTAGAATATTCTTCGTGAATGGATTTTGTTTTTGTAAAGAAAGATATTTTTGAAATAGACATCTCTCTGAATTTTACCGTTACAATTATCGAGGATAAGCCTTAAGCCATCGATATGATCAGTATGCCTCGATATAACCTGTAACTATTGTTTATAACTCGAATAATTGTATGTAACTGGAATGTACTACTACCAAGTAGTTCATATTCATATCTGTATGTCTAGTAGTCCGCTATTTTAGTGATTATACCTACTGCTGAATCAGATTAAAAACTGTGAAAAATATATCTTAGTTATCCAAAAATGTTTTAATTCAAGTTTTATGTTTCATAAAATACGTTAAGGAATGATAACCCACATATAAGACTTAATATTTGTTAGCAGCAGTTTCCAAAATTAAATATTCCAGTATCATGATAGACAATTTAGAAAGTAGGAGTATTATAAATAGGATTGTTTTTAAATATACATTTATCAGATTTCAGAAACTGCTTTTTGAAAATGACGACCTTATATATATATATATATATATATATATATATATATATATATATATATATATATATATATATATACCCACTTACTTCAAAAATAAAAGTATCTAGCTCTTCTCTAATTCCTTCGTCATCGATATCAGCTCCATCATGCTTGGCTTTTAACATCAAGTCTAAAAGAGCCAACCTCTTCCTATCGGAATAACTCAAATTATCATTGGGAACGAAAGTTTTCTTACGTTCATTGATAACGTTTTGGGAAAAATCGTGTAGAATATTTATTGTTTTTCTAGTCTTCTTGTATACTGAGCTTAATTTATATATTAATGAAAAGAACAACCAAGGGCGGACGCATCTGTAAGCAAAATACTCTCCAAAATCGTAAACAGCTTGTTTGTATCGTTTGCAGTTAGGATCTTCTCGAAGAGAAACGCCTAGAGAAGTTTCTGTAACATAATTTCGATTCTTAGAATTATTTAAATTTTTGCTTTAAAATTCAAGAATTTTGTTGTAATTACTAATAACTCTTATAAATCCTATTTGACACCATAATCTTAGCGTGAAACATCCGTTTAAGTACCAATAGTGTCGAAAGTAATTAAAAAGTCCAAAGGAAAAACCAGGTAACCACAAAATTTAAATTATTTAAATTATTATAAAGGACAATTTTTTTTTATTTTAGGATGTACTAATGTTTTTTTATTGAACATGTCACATTAGTAAATTAAACATCAACAATTCACAGATCTATCGATATTTGAATACTACGTCTAGTCAGTCAGATAAAAAGAAAAAAGATAGACTCTATTTATTGCAGCATGACTAACATTTAACATTTCTGCTGTACAGCGTCTTGAGTAACATTCTTGAAATAAAGGTATTGCCCTAGCAATTTAAATCTCTGTGAGATACACTCTGCACCTTCTGGGCCTTTCAAACACATCAAAACACCCGTCATTGCTCGCGTGGTGAGCGCAGCGCTCAGTGGAATTATTTTTCAGGCTACAAACCACACCTAGGCGGCTAGGCGCAACATAGTTACTTATCTACCAGGTGCAAAACAAATAGCGAAAAATATGTTAACACCAATTCGTCTTCTTCTTCACTGGCTTTACAACTCGGGGTGAGTCTTCGCCGCATCCACTATCGCCCTCCATCCTCTAGGATCTGGCGCTTCTATTTCCCATTGTTGTACCCCAATTCTACATAAATCGGCTTTAACATCATCCTTCAATCTTTTTCTCGGTCGGCCTACTGATCTTCTACAGTTCTAAATGTTTTTGGACAGTTATGTCAAAGAAGCGATTCTATATTCTCCTTCGTGCACTACGCTTTGACGCTATCCAGTCCAGAGTAGAACGACGAAAGCATGACAAACTTGCATCCATTAGAAAAGCTTTCAACAAGTTTTTGGAAAAGTTAATGGCTTGCTATACAGTTGGAATGTATTGCTGCATTGACAAGATGCTTGCAGGCTTTCGGGAAAATATATTTTTTGTCAATATATACCCAGTAAGTCGGCAAAATATGGGATAAAAATGTTCGCACTTTTTGATTCGCGAACTTTTTATACAGCAAAGTTGAAAATATATGCTGGAAAGCAGCCAGAAGGCCCCTTTGAGATAGATAATAGTCCTAACAGTGTGGTTAAACGTATGATAGAAACAATTGCCCCTACTGGACGCAACATTACCTGCGACAACTGGTTCACGTCCATTCCACTGGCGACTGACCTGCTACATAATTACAGGATAACTCTAGTATAGACATTGAGAAAGAATAAACCACAAATTCCTCCTCTTTTTGTAGCTACAAAAGGAAAACCACTATACAGCAGCATTTTTGGTTATGGTAAAGACTGTCTTTTACTTCATACGTTCTCAAAAAAAAACAAAAATTTACTGATGTTAGGTGTTAGTGTAAGTGTCAAGTGTTAGGCGACTTTTATTGGCAGCTAAAAAACAGTATTGAAAACAATGGTTTAGAAAATAAACCACAAAATATATTCAACTGTGACGAGTCTGGCTTTCAAACAGACGTTGGAATCCAAAAAATTTTATGTCGAAAAGGATATAAAAATTCACATGTACTTCATCTAATTTGCTTACCGTTGCACGTCATCCGCGTCATAGTCCATGAGGTCACATGATACTAACACGAAATATTTAGGCGGTAGGTGTGTTCTTTTTTAGAATCACTTTGCCGAGTACACTGGCATTACAGCCACTAGACATATTTTATTATATACGCGTAGAAATAATATTTAGAGATTTCTATTAATGTTAACAGAAACACACTGTAACTATAATCAAACGAAGGTGACATTTTGGCATAAATTGGTAACACTTATTTGACAGTTGCCCTGTTGACACTTTTTTTACTTTATTATTTTGAATTTTAAAGTGAATACCTCTTGTTTTATATTTTTACCTATTTAATAAAATCTGTTCTTGTTAGAACAAAATTAGTGTGTGTTATTTCAAAAATATCACGTAAGAATTGAAATAGTCGTTGTAAAGAGATGTTAATACTTTTGCAATAATTATGTGACCTATTTGATTTAAAATGGAGTCAGGATTTTTTTATAGTTTGGCAACTATGTCATCTTCGATATCTGTCAATGATAATGACGTGCAACGGTAAGTAAATTAGATGAAGTATAAAGTTGTAGGCAGTAAGTTTGGCTCGGTGTACAGAAAACAAAAAGTCTAACGCAGCAGTTTAAAATTCTAGATGAATCTGCGGCTTAGACTAGAATATGCTGGGATCTGATCGGCCTATGGTGGAACCGTAAAATCAACGTATACTGTTATGGTTTTCTGCAGAAGGAGATTATTTATCTTTGTTTGTAAATTATAAAGGTTCGGAATCAGTTCAGTTTGCCAATTGGTTTGAAAACGTTTTCATCAAACATATTGCAAAACTGGAAGACCCTAAGCTTTTAATATTTGATGGTCACAATTCACACTTGACTGTGCCATTGATTGAAATGGCCAGTGCCAATAATATTGAATTTTTGTGTTTGCCGGCCCACACATCTCATGCTTTGAAACCCTTAGATTTGGGAGTATTTAAAAGCGTGAAGCAATTGTGGCGCAATGTATTAAAATATTATTATCGTGCTACGGGATGCAAAAATGTACACAAAATTACTTTCCCTTCATTGCTTATCCTTCAAATGAAGATAAGATATTACAAAAATGTGAAGTGTCATCAGCACACACTTCCACTCCAGATCAACAACGCCCCCCTCCCCCATCCCGTCTGCACGAGGGCTACTTTTAGGGGAGAATCTTGATGGTAGGAGTAAACTTTTTTACATATTTTTTGGGGTTTTAAAATTGACATTCTCAGCAAAATTCAGCTAGTTTTAGTTTATGTGATTTTAAGAGTTTCAGTGGCATTTTAGTCTCTGGCGACTGGAGTAATTGTAGTCATGATAGGTATTTGACTTCTTAAAACAGGTTTCTTCATATTTTAAATTGAAGAGTCGAGTATTTCTAAAAATTATATACACTAGAATCCACGAATTTAATAAATCTTTACAAACACTTTGAATTTGAATTTTGAAAATTGTTATATACATATTTTGATAATTGTTAAATTACCTCCAATAGAGTATAAAGTAAATTCGGTGATAGGTTTAGTTACATCTATATGAGGGGCGTCAGATAATTTCATCAAATTATCAACCAATATTTGTGTTTCTTTGTTTAACATCCCCACGAATTCCTGAAGAATATTAAAATGGAACGCTGGCGTTAAAATTTTTCTTCTCTTATTCCATTTTGTGCCTAAAATCAAACAAAAGAGATTCAAAACATTTAGATAACTGTAAGAGATATATCAATTTGAATTAACTTAATATTGTTCTGAAACTATTTTCTTGTGGCATTTTAAAGTAATTAAGTAAGCCACAATTAAAGGTTAAGTACGTTTATTGTCGTTTCAATTTCCACTTCGGAAATCGTTCTCAAAATACAAACATTAGTAAATTCAGACATACATTATACATTTTAAAGTAGACGACTTTAAAATGGTATTGCCAATATTGTTGAGTTGCGCTCCTGTGACGACTTGACTTATAAGATAGTTCATTCGATTACATGAAATCAACTTTAACTTGAGAATATCCATCAGAAAAAATCATAGCATGTAATTCGTAAGTCAGTAACATATAGAGCATACATCATTTATGTTTTTTAAATAACAAACTTATAAAATCAGAATTTGGTGTTTATTGAAGGTAAACTAAATGTACGACCAAATACTTACGTTGTCGGGATAGTATTATGAGGTTTTTCCTGGGTTTTCCCTCATAATTTACTATGGAATCACTAACAGGAGAATTTTACTGTCATCATGGCATGTGTTTGTCTTTTTAAAGACGAATTACATGCTCTGATTTTTTCTGACGGATATTCTCAAGTTAAAGTTGATTTTATGTAATCGAATGAACTATCTTATAAGTAAAGTCGTCCCAGGAGCGCAACTCAACAATATTGGCAATATCATTTAAAAGTCGTCTACTTTAAAATGTATAATGTATGTCTGAATAATTATCAATATAAATGAGTCAGATAGAATTAAATTATTAGAAAAATTTTTCACTAAGTAACAAAAAAAAAATTTGTTTAATTTACTTATGTTTGTATTTTGAGAACGATTTCCGAAGTGGAAATTGAAACGTCAATAAACGTACTTTAACCTTTCTTCTTCAAGCGCCATCTCAGCGGCGGAGGTCGGTAAACATCATAGCTATTCGGAGTTTTGAGACGGCTGCTCTGAAAAGTTCATTTGATGTACATCCGTACCACTCTCTCAGGTTGCGAAGCCATGACATTCTACGCCTCCCATGCTTCTCGTTCCTTGGATCTTTCCCTGCATAATCAGTTGGAGCAAGGTGTATTTCTCTCCACGTGTAATATGTCCGAGATATTCTAATTTTCTTGTTTTAATTGTATTTATAATTTTCATTTCTTTATTCATCCTCCTCAGAACCTCTTTGTTTGTGACGTGTTCTGTCACATTCGCATTCGCTTCAAGTCCAAGATTCTGAAGTCCAGTCTTTTCTATTTTTATTTTGATCTCCTGAATGTAATCATTTGTGGAGTTAATCATTGTTCCCAGATATGCATATTTGTCCACTTGTTCGACGTTGGTTCCGTTTATTAGAAGATTCTCGTTATTTCTTTGAGTTTTCGATATTCTCATAAATTTCGTTTTCTTGACATTCATTGTTAGACCATACTCTGCTATTCTGGTCACCAGTCTCTAAGATCTTCAATTTTTTCGGCTAAGATCACAGTGTGGTCCACATATCTAATGTTGTTAATGGAAACTCCATTTACCTTTATTCCAACTGTTTCACCCTCAAGAGTGTTTTTCAGGATCTCTTCGGAGTAGGCATTAAAAAGAATTGGCGACAATACGCATCCCTGTCTCACTCCACATCTAATTTCAATTTCTTCTGACAGCTGCTCGTTAACTCGTACTTTTGCTCGCTGTTTATATTATAAATTTGATATGATCCTGAGGTCGTTGTAGTCAATCTTCTTTGATTTCAGGACATTCATTAATTGTTTATGTCGTACTTTATTGAATGCTTTATTATAGTCAATAAAACATGCGTATATATCTTGAATGACGTCCAGGCATCTTTTATCAGTATATTAAGGGAAAAAGAGCTTCACGCGTTCATAGGCCTTTGAAAAAACCAAATTGTGTATCATTAACGTCTATGTCCAGTTTGTGATATATTCGGTTATGGATGACTGTAAATAGAAACTTTAGCATACGAGACATCAAGCTAATGGTGCGGTAATCGCTGCATTCTCTTGTGTTTGTCTTTTTAGGGAGACAAAAAAAAAATCGATGTTAACGACTCTTTGGGTAATACGCCTGAATTATAAATTTGGTTCAAAAGTGTCACTAAAACATCAATATGCTTCTCATCTCGAATTTTTAGGATTTCCATAGGTATGTCTTCATAAAAAAAGGGGACAAACTGTTGTGTCAGAATTATAGAGGCATCTCTTTACTTTGTTCGGGATACAAAATACTCACAAACATCATTAATCGAAGACTTTAACCTCTCACGGAAAAAATCATCTGAGAATATCAAGCAGAACAGAATATGACATGGACATTTACAATTTCTTTGTAGATTTTAAATAAGCCTATGATTCAATAGATAGAACAATTCTACCTAATATATTGGAAGAATTTGGCATACCATCAAAATTAATACGACTAGTGCAAATGACAAGGACTGAAACCAGGCGACGGACTGGCTCCAACGCTCTTTAATCTGGTTCTTGACTATGTAATTAGACGGTTGACGGTGAGCGGAAATAACATACTTACAAACAAATCTACCCAATTAGCAGCATACTCAGATGGATATAAACATAACGAGCAGAACAATGAATGCAGCGGAAGAAACCTACGTTGAGTTGAAACAGAGGGCAGAAGCAGTAGGGCTAGCAATAAATACAAATAAAACAAAACTACTCATACAAACCAGATCAAATAGACCAGAGCAACAACACTTTATTGACGATATAGAATATGTGAATAGATTCACATACCTAGGAATGGATCTGGTCACAAGCAATGAAGAAGAACCGAAATAAATAGAAGGCTTGTACTGGCAAATAATAATATTTCGCGATGCGCCACATATTCAAATCGCGAGACGTACTCCGGAAAACAAAACTCCGGGTCTATAAAACAATAATCAGGCCTATAGTAAGTTATGGTTGTGAAACATGGGTGGTGACACAGAAATTTGCCAATGAATTAGATATGTTTGAAAGAAAAATGTTACGTAGGATACTGGGCCCAATAAGTGAAAACAACAACTGGCGAATTAGGTATAATAGAGAAATATACGAGCAATATAGCGAACCAACTCTAGCACAATACATTAAACTGCAGAGATTACTTTGGGCAGGGCACGTGGTCTACATGCATGAGAATAGAATCCCCAGAAAATTACTAAATGCAAGAATGCAGGGAAAAAGACCTGTTGGAAGACCTAAAAAGAGATCGGAAGACGAAGTCGATGAGGATTCCAGGAACTGCCTGGGAACACGTTCAAGGAAAAGAACAGGGATAAATCGAAATGATTGGAGAAGCTTGTTGAAGGAGGCCAAGGCCCGATTTGGGCTGTAGTGCCAGTGCCATTGGATGGATGGATAGGAAGTATGTCAGGTCCAGGGCTTTTCCCACTCTTCATTGTTTTTAATGCGTGTAATATTTCTTCCTTTGTAATATATGGACCTATTTCTTCTGACGTAAGTTCTGTGTGCTCCAGATCTCCTCTTTCATCATCGAACAATTCGTTGATATATTCTGCCCATTTTTGTACTTTCTCGTCCGTATGTGTTATAGTAGTCCCGTGTCTATCCAGAATTGTACGAGTGGGATTTTGTTTTCTTAGTCCTGCCAGTTCTTTAACTTTCTTGCGTAGGTTAAACAGATCATATTTATTTTGAAGGCCTTCGATCTCTTTGCATTTCTCTTCAAAGTATTTTTCTTTTGCCTGGTTTATCATCTTCCTGATCTCGTGCTTTATTTCTCTGTATTTATTGTTGTCCTTGTTTTTAAATTGTCTCCGTTGTTTCATCATATTGAGTATCTCGTCATTCATCCATTCTTCTTTATAAGCCATTCCCACTTTAACCTTTAATTGTGGCTTATTCCCATTTAAATAGTAATTACTTGAATTAACTTGATTATCTACAATTTCAATATTACAATTATTAAATATTTGTTTAAACATAATTCACTGTATATATCTTGCTCATATACGCATGCCTATGTTCTTCAATCCAAGTTGTTTTATTTTGGAACTAGTGCTCTGGCATATTTATGAGGTTAAAGTTGATACTATTATAGTCAATCTTTCATTTAAATTTTTCCATGATTAAAAGTTTGAAATCAAAAATGAACAAGCGGCACAGATAACAGATAAAGCAGTACCGGATAGTAAATCGTTAAATGGATTATAGATTGCGTAGGTAATGGTAAATTGATCAGATTCTGATCTTATAATTAGTTAGTGCAATTTTCTAAGGAGTAATTTATAAAACACTGAAATCTATATTGAAAAAAAAACTGCTAAAAAGTTCTCAGTTTGACCATCACCAGGTCTTTTTATTTTCAAACTTCTTTATTGCGGTTTTTCCAAATATTTTAATAGAAACTATCTTTAATAATACTAGGCATATTCTTCCAAATTGTATTAGGACTTCTTTTCATGTTCCAGCACATTGTTTCTTCTATTTTTGTCCTAAATTGACCTTCTTTCTAATCGTTAATATCCACAACTTGATTTTTTGTAATCCTCTCCGATATTTTGGTTTAAATTCGATTCTTATTTCGATATCCAGCACAGTACAGCCTGTAACTTTTGTTGTTAGCTCATAGTCACTCACTAATTTCATCAGTTAAATCTCATAAAACACTGTGCAAGTGATTTAAATCAATTAAAGTCTCCGTTAATTTGTTCGTTCACACAATCGCCATGTTTTTCTTTGCAACTGATTTATCTGCAACGTAGCGTTTTATATTTCTAGCTTTTGAAATTGTGGTTATCATTGTACTAAGCCACTCCATTTTATAAGTTCCCATACGATTAATTTCATATTACCTTTATTGGATGAAACAATGTGGCGTCCCTGGAGTCCAGATGATAATAGGGCAATTTCGCCAGTTAATGAACCGGAACCAAATCGACAAGGAGGTGATCTCATTCAAGTATTAGAACCTGAACACCTCCAACGAATACATTTATCTACTGATGCAAAACAAATGATTACCAATGTTTTTCAAACTCTTGTCGAAAAAATCATGGACAGTAACGAAGCCATACATGAAACGGCAACTTTGACTAAAAAGCCATTATTCACAGTCAGAAAAATTGTAAGTAATCCTATTATAATCCAAGATTAACAAGACGTAATATTTCTCGGAAGCTCGATCGTGCAGATGAAGATCTTATTCGTTGCAAAGTGTATGCCCTGTATGAAGAACAAATTGTACCCACACTAGATATATTAGTTGACAGGCTTCACGTCGACAACACTGAAATTAAGTGCAGTAGCACAACTGTTTGGAAGTGTTTGCAACGTATAGGGTTTAAATACAAAAAATAGAAAAAAGACAGGTAGACGTGACGAAACGTTCCATAATGAATTTTTTCCCTTAATTATCTAGATATTTGTTTGATATTGATGTTGACAAAATCAACAGTTTGCAAGGACAAAAATGGGGCAATTATCAGCTAGAAAGAGGAAATAATGAAAAGGTGAAAGGAGCATTTTCAAGGGCTGTTAAACCCAGAAAAAGAACAAAACGAAGATGAAGAAATAATTTACTACACAGCAGAACAACTAGTTAAGCAACCAATATTGGAAGAAATGATAAACGTCATAAAACATCTAAAAAATAACAAAGGCTACTGGAAACGGCAGAGGAAAAGAATTACAGGAAATACGCTGAGAGATCGAAAGAGAAATGAAGACATTAAAAGAATTCTTCAAAGACCAAATGAGAGTGGCATGATGCCGAGACATCGTGGGGCTCCAGAGTCCCACCCCCACCCGGGGCGGAAAGGCGACGCAGGCGGAGGAATTCCACCTCGCACGTAGACCGATCATGACATATGGCATAGAAGTGCGCGAAGATACCAACAAAATGAAACAGATGCTAAGGGTTGCCGAAATGAAAACCCTAAGAACAATAATGGGGAAAACAAGAAGAGACAGAGTGAGAAATACAAACATTAGAGAGCAGTGCAAAATTCAAGATATTGTAAGATGGGGAAGGCAGCGCAAGAGGATGTGGTACAACCATGTAAAACGAATGGATGAGAATAGACTCCCAAAAATTGCCCTAGAAAACAATCCGTCCGGTTCAAGACCCCCGGAAGATCACCTAAAAGATGGAGGGATAGTTGGCAATCTACCTCCCAAGAAATTAAACAGAGGCAGCTTCAGAATTAAACAGATCGAAAGATCTACAAAAAGAGAAGAAGAAGACGTAGACAGGTCGCCGCAGGGGATCTCTCCTCTACCACTCTTAAATCACCCAGGTGACGGGTGCCAAGACACTGGCGCCACTCTTGGTGGTGCGGGCTGAGAGAGGTGCTTATGGTCTCAGCTCTTTCAACCTCACCTGGTTCTTGTGGAATGAGAGTAGAGTGGTCCCACGAGAGTCTCGTCTCGGATACTAGGAGTGTAGACCGGTGACCGAGATGCTAAGCCTCCCGAGTGCGTTTCTACAAACCCGACACCTCAAGCGACGGCTCTCCACCTCTCAGTTCCTTCCTATTAGTCGCCTCTTATGACAGGCAGGGACTTCTGGCCTCGGCTGTATCCTATATTCTTATCTCCGCGAGCCGAACGGAGAGTCAAAATAGCAAGAGATAAGTCACCAATCGACAGAAGAAGTATCGGACGACCGCGCAGAAGATGAAGAGCGACCTTTTATTTACAAAGCGATTTCTTTACAAAGTTTATTGGAACTTAAGGTAATTTCAGAAACTTAATTAATATTTAAATGGAAATAAGCCACAATTTTGTGGCTTATTCCCATTTAAATATTAATTACTTTAAAATGCCACAAGAAAATAGCTTGAGAACACACAAGTTGATAATCTTCCTTTGATGGATAGTTAGCTTAATAGACAAGCATCTAATACGACGTTGAGCTCATAAAACAAAATATATTTAAATATAGAATTGGAAATACACAAGGATGAAATAAATGGAAAAAGCTGTATATAAAAAGCAAATTTAATAACGATAAACAGGGAGGACACACTGAAATGGAATTGGGCCGGACACGTCGCCCGAATCAGTGATAAAAGGTGGACGAAGAGATACCACGTATGCGAAATCTGACGAAATTATTCCTCCGATTTCTGACGAAAATAACTTGGACGAAAACGCATCCAAGGGATGACCGGCATTAGAGTAATATATATTTCGAATCAGATTTTGATATCCTTTCAAATGAAGTATCATATGACCCCATTGTTATTTAAAAAAATTAACGGACAACAATGGGGACTCTTCATAATACCGAAACTTTGATACTGTTAGATATAAGAACAAGTTTAAAAATTGACGGGTCCAAGTGAATTTGTTTTATCTTTAAAATAAACAAGTTGATAGAGGGTTAAGAGTGTATCCTCGAACTGTATACTATAACTCTATATTAACTAATCTTTAGTGTAGCCTAAGTGGAGTAAGTATGTGTTTTAAAATCAGTACTTTTCTCATAGACATTAAACTTATGCAAATTGAATACAATGAGTAAATATAACATTAAATCTTACCCTCACTAGTTAAAAGACCAGTTCCCAGCCAATCATGAAGAAAGCTGTATATTAAACTCTTCTTATTGTGCTTTGAATTATTTACCACCAACTGAAAAATATGTGATTATTATGTCAGCTAAAAATATTGTACTTATTTAGAAGCCACATTAATTTGACTTTTTAATGACATTCTCTTGGTTAATCTATCTCTATTTTAGTCATCGAAGTCATCGAAATATAGACCTCTAGATTAGACTACGTCAGAACCAGCCGTGGCGGTTATATGCCAGAAATTATATTTAAATTATAATGCCAAAACATTTCTTTTGAATAAAGTTAATTTCATGTCAATTTAAATCGCCTTCGTTTTATTCCAATTCAAAGTTCTATACCTCTAAAAAAACACCCATTATATATAACCAATAAATAAATGTGCAGGCTGGAAATAAATATCTTTGGTATAAGTGAAACCAAATGGCCAAAGGAAACGACGATTTTAGCTATTATAATGATGTTGCTATTGTGATAGTTCCTAGAAGAGCTTCCTCGGTCCCTAAATTCGTACCACTTTCTAACAGAACAGTGATCAAACACAAATCAAGGCAGCATCGAAAAATCTAAATATTATTTAATTCAATGCTCAAACAGCCGATAAACCAAAATCAGATATTCAATCTTTCTCTTCGGAAATAAAACAATTGCTGTCCCAAACCAAAAAGAATGAGACTATTTATATCTTAGGCGACTTCACAGCAAAAATAGGAAAAAAAAGCTGCGATGACACCGTTGGGAAACATGGTCTAGGAGTAAAAATGAAAGAGGCGATACCCTAATCCAATTCTGCTAAGTGGGGAAAATGATGATGAAGGCAATCTTGACATAACCAAAGAAGATAAAACGAAATTATGGGAAGAATACTTGGAGAAACTTTTCCATGACCTTAGGACAATACAAGAACGCACCATTAAAGAAAATTCAGGCCCCGAAATCCTAAGAGGAGAAATAACAGCAGCCGTCAGACAACTGAAGGATGAAATGGCACCGGGACTTGATGAAAATCCTGCAGAACTGCTGAAGCTATTAGATGCAGAACAAATAAAAATAATAACTGAAATATTTAATGAAAGATACAAGGCAGGAAAAATACCATTCTTCTTCTTAGAGTGCCGTCTCCCTACGGAGGTCATAAATACTATTAGAGTGGCTCAAATCGGAGTTCGTACCATTGCCCAAAAAAGCAGGAGCAAAAGTTTGTGAAGTTAATGAACAAAATAACGGAAACAATTAGAACATATGGACTGGACATAAACACCAGCAAAACCAAGCTAATGATCATCAGCAAGCAAAACATAACTGGAGCAAATCTGTATGTGAACCAAATGAGAATTGAACGTGTCTCACAATACAATTACTTGGGAACTATAATCAATGAGTCGTGGGACAATACCCAAGAGATTAAATGTCGCATTGGAAAGGTAAAAAGTGCATTTTTGACTATGAGCTCTGTGTTCAAGAGCCATGACCTCACCCTAGAAACAAAAATAAGGCTCCTTAAATGTTACGTATAGTCAGTGCTTCAATACGGAGTAGAAACGTGGGATTAAAGGCGGAAACTCTATCAAAACTTTAGGCTTTTGAGCTATGGTTATACAGAAGGATCCTGAAGATACCATGGACAGACAAAGTCACCAATGAAAAAGTACTGCAAAGATGGACACAACCGCGGATTTGGTCAACATCGTGAAGGGCTGTAAGCTGCAGTACTTGGGATATATAATGAGAAATCAAGGCAGATACGAGCTACTCCAATGCATTTTGCAAGGTAAAATTGAAGGAAAAAGAGCCCCAGGACGAAGAAGAATATCCTGGCTTGCTAACCTGAGAGCATGGTATAAAAAGACCTCAACACAGCTATTCCGTATAGCAACCAACAAAGTCATCATAGCCAGAATGATCGCCAACGTTCGGAACGGACAGGCACCCTTAGAAGAAGAAGGGGAAAATTTTAATCTCTAACACGTGGTTCAAATTACCCTTCCCAAAGATTCATATGATCATCCAAGATACACATGATCATTCAGTTAGCAATCAGATTGACTATATTCTATCACCAAAAAGATACTTAAGGTAATATAAGTTCGGCTAAAAAAAACTTTCTTGGGCTTAGAAAGTCCTAAGAAAAAACCAATTATTCATTTGTCAAGCACGGAAATGTTAAATGACGAAACAAGAAAGTAAATAATTTTTCGCAAACTCAATACAGAGACAAAATACAGACACCGGTAACTGAAGGAAAGCATACAGCACACTTGGAGTTTGCTTAGAACTGCAATTTTAGATACACAAGAAGATATAACTACATTTAATAAAATTCATCGGCAAACAACAGCAAAAATTTAAAAACACGCAATATACAAGAGTATAAAGAAACTCAGACACATGTTAGGACCAAAAATAATAAATTAAAAAAGATTTAGAAAAGAAGAAAAGTAGAAAAAATAATTAGAAAAGTCAGATAAGCATGGATAATCAAGAGAAGCAAGGAAATAAAGGCAACGTATTGAAAACAAGATCTATTTAAAATCCACAAAAAAGATAAGGAAATTGCAGGAAACTTTAAATCTCCAACATTTTCAAAAATAGTAGATCAAGACCATAATATACTCCTTGATACACAAGATGTAAAAGTATGGACAACCTGTATTCCAGATCTTTTTGACGACAGCGTTACCCCTTTTCGTAGCCAACATGGGGTCAAATATAATGATTTCAGAAATAGAAAAGTCTCTGCAGGGATTAAAAAACAGCGGACTAGATAACGTTTGTCCAGAATTCTTGAAACTTTTACTCGAAGAAAACTTTAAAATCTTAGTCATACTATTTAACACTATCCATAATGGTAGATCTGAGTTAACTACGGATTTTCGAGTATGATTGTGAATTAGAGAGGCTTTGTTTACGCTATCAGTTTTATTACAGAAGTTTAGAGCCTATTTGACTTTGTCAAACATAGTACCATGTTGAATATTCTAGAAAGAAAAAGTTTGGACTCTCAAGATCTAAAACATCAAAAAGCGATAAGACAGCTTAAAAATAGCCAATCAATAGTTGCATCGATTAAACGTGTAGTTAGACAAGGTTGTGCAATGAGCTTCATGCTATTAAACATGTCATCATCATCATCATTCAGCCCATACTCGTCCACTGCTAAACATAGGCCTCCCGTAGTTCACCCCACAAATTTCTGTCCTGAGCCGCCTGCATCCAATTTTGATGTGTCCGTTTCAGGTCATCCGTCCATCTTGTTGGTGGTCGTCCTCTATTCCTAAAGGCATCTTGTCTGGGTCTCCACTCAAGAATGCGTTTTGTCCATCTGCCGTCCTTCGTTCTCGCAACGTGCCCTGCCCAGTTCCATTTTAAGGTTGATATTCTTTTGATTGCGTCGGTTACTCCCGATCTACGGCGCAATTCTGTGTTGGGTATTCGGTCTCTCAGGGTTAATCCCAATATGGACCGTTCCATTGCCCTCTGTGTTGTTCGAATTTTGTTTGCGGACGTCTTAGTAAGTGTTAGCGTCTCCGCACCATAGGTTAGAACCGGCAGCACACATTGATCGAAGACTTTTCTCTTCAATCAGATGGGACGAGCTGATTGGCAAACATCTCTTAGCTTTCCATAAGCTGCCCATGTCAACCCTATTCTACGTATTAGTTCATTGGTCTGGTTATCTCTACTTAAGCGAATTTCGTGTCCCAGATATTTGTATGCTGATGTTTGTTCTATACTTGTTCCAGCTATGTTGATGTTCTCACTCAGAACAAGGTTTGTCATCACTTGTGTTTTTGAGTTATTGATCTTTAAACCCACTTGTGTAGAGGCATGGTAGAGTCTTTCGCACATTTCGATGGCATGATCTATGCGGTCTGTTATCAGGACTATATCGTCCGCGAACCTGAGGTGACTAAGCTGCTCTCCATTTATGTTTATGCCCATTTCGTCTAGGTTTGCACGCTTACACATGTATTCCAATAATGTTGTAAACAGTTTTTCTGGTGGTTTACTGTGTCGAATGCTTTCTCATAATCCACAAATATTAGGACGAGGGGTTTATTGTACTCTATACATTTTTCGATGATGCTTTTAATAACTTGTAGATGGTCGTTTGTGCCGAAGCCTGACCTGAATCCTGCCCGTTCGCATGATTGGTAAAAGTCCATTTTGTTCGAAAGTCTGTTTGTTATGACTATTGTAAAAAGCTTGTATATGTGTGAGATGAGGCTGATTGGTCTATAGTTTACGAGATTTGTTAAATCTCCTTTCTTAAACATTAGAACGATCACTGCATTTTGCCATTGTGATGGTGTTGTTCCTCTTTCAAGGCATTCTGTGAAAAGTATGGAAAGCATTTGTATCAGTTTCTCGCCTCCTAATTTTATGGCTTCGGCAACGACCCCGTCGTCGCCAGGTGACTTATTATTTTTCATTTGTAGGAGAGCTTTTTTGATTTCATCAACAGTAACATCTGGTATGTCTTCCGAGCCCTGGTTTAGAACCTTTGGAATGTTGTCAGTTGGAACATTTTCTTCTGTTTTGCTGTAGAGTTCGCTGTAAAATTGTCCGACAGTTTGTAGAATTTCCTGTTTATCTGTTATTATTTCGCCCTTTGTGTTTTTCAGTTTGTAAATATTTTTCTTTCCTATTTGCTGTTTCCTTCTGAAGACTTTTAAACTTTTTGAGGATACAGGCAACTATCGAACACGGTGATTAATTTAATCTTGCCCAAGTACTTTCAATCAATAGATCATCTTCAGGGGCATTTCGTCAATTGTGGACTATCCGACATAGTAGAATGTCATAAATTTAAAACTGGACATAACAATACAAAATACACTACACTAAGACAAACAAACACTTTAAAATTTATATGGCGAAGCTACATATTGTGAAGAAGCCGGAGCTTCTTCACAATATGTAGCTTCGCCATATAAATTTTAAAGTGTTTGTTTGTCTTAGTGTAGTGTATTTTGTATTGTTATGTCCAGTTTTAAATTTATGACATTCTACTATGTCGGATAGTCCACAATTGACGAAATGCCCCTGAAGATGATCTATTGATTGAAAGTACTTGGGCAAGATTAAATTAATCACCGTGTTCGATAGTTGCCTTGTATACCCTCAAAGTTTAATTATTCTACTTTGTTCTCTTCTATGACTTTAAACATGTACTCTGAGGTAATATTCCAAAACGCATTCGAAGGCACAGTCGATGGCATAATAGTCAAGAGAAATAAGGTTAAAAAAGTACCCCGTTGAGGACTCTGACCTGGTTAGGTATCTGACAAGTTTTTTTAGGAGTTTTGATCTTCAGTCGGACATTAATTATGTTTGTTTTATAAACGTGTTTAGGTACTTACCTCAATGTCCTCAGGATGCATCACAACAACTGCTGGTATATTGAAAGACCATAACTTATAAATGGGATACAATTCAATTGCTCTTATTCTATCTCTTATAAATAACGATTCTAAAAAATAAGAGTACATTTATTTCCTACATTTGTTCTTAACACATCGATGTGCTTACATCTATTTTCATGATTCTCTTCTTCTCTTTTACAAATAATATTACTCTAATATCAGAATGAACTGAAACTTCAAATAGCCAAAATAGAATTATTGACAAAGTGTACGGAAACTAATAAAAAAAAACAAGATTAGGGAGAAACTACAGAAGCGAGGATTGTTGTATCATATGAAGCTCATATGAAGAAAAATGAGCCGAAGAACAAAAAGCATATAACTTGTTTTTTTTAAAGCATATAACTTTTTTTGAGGTGGCTGCAGATTTATTTTTTTTATTTTATGTATTTGGTCAAAAGCTACATCTCTGATTTTTTTTAGATTTTTCCGTATGGTGTGCCATCTTCAAAAATTCAAAAAACTTTTTTTATGGATTTTCTCCATTTTATAGACTTCAAAATAGATCAAATCAAGGTTTTTTATAGATTAAGTATATAATATTCTTAATTAAATGATGCCCTTAGATATTCAAAAATTGGGCGAAAACCTTTAAACCCCCCAAACAAATCATGCTTTTCAGGATTTTTAGGGGTTTTAAATAATAATAAATTTTGCACTTCCCTTCTCTATACCACACACAATGTCTTCTCTGTCTAATAAAAGGGCGTTTCTTCCCTGCGCTGATATTGAAAATTATTTTTTTAATATTCTATAAAATTTGGTTTTTGTCAAATTTGGCAAAGTAGGATCATCGTTCACCTCCTTTAAAACCCTATACACGATGGGAATTTTGTTTTTAATAATTAAACAAAATTTTTAACCCACAATTAAACAAAAAATTTCAGAAAAACGACAATTACGTAAAAATGGCAACAGTCATGAACGGCGGAAAATAAGAAAATACTTAACAAAGCAACAAAGGAATTAATCCATGAAGAAGAAAACCATGCAATTCAAGAATATTTAGAAAATTTACTGAAGCTACAGATTACTCACTCTGGAAAGCCACGAAAAACTCAAACGGCCACAACAGTATAACCCACCAATCAAAGATGAGGCAAACACCTGGGCTAGGAACGACAACGAAAAATCTGATCTGTTTGGCAAGCACCTTCAAAAAGTATTCACGCCATACCCTTCTACAGTATCTACAAAGGAAGAAACATAACTAACCATTTTAGCTGATCCCACATGTACTCTATTGGATTTAAATCTGGATTAAAGGGTGGCTAATCTAATCTTTGAATTTGGACCTCAAGATAATTAACTACTATGTGGTCGAGCATTATCGTGCATTAACATGAATCTGTCATATCCAATGTAACCAACATATGGCAAAACATGATCTTGCAGCATGTTTTGAACGTAAGAGTCACCCGTCATCCGTCAAATCACTTTCACAAGTGCGGTGTGTCGCACACTTGTGAAAGTAGATAATTTTATTATCTACTTTTTTAATATGTGGTACGCGATTGATACAGAATTTATATAAGTGGTACGTGTAAAATAGGTTTGAGAATCGCTGGTTTAATTGTTCATTAATATAAGTCATATGATTATTTTTTCACTAAGTATGTATTCAGTGATTATAATAATTTATATACTATGCAATAAAAACTAATAATCAAGAAAAGAGAAAAATTGATAAAGCGATCTTAATAATATACTGTAACTATGAGAACAAGTAGATAAATTTTTAATATCTTTAACAATTAATATACAATTGAAACCCCCTTTGTGGCTCAGTGGTAAGAGCGCCTGCCTTTAAACCTAAAGGTCGTGAGTTCGAATCCCATCTGGGTGGAGAAATTTTCGTTTATTAAAAATTAATGAATGAAAATAATTTCTATCCATGTGTGATCGGTACTCACCGGAGGGACCGCAGACGTTCGTATACAATTAGCGTCTCTTAGTAAAGACAATGACGTCGACTTTGCTAAGTATCAAGACAGTTACTCTACACACACACACACTACACTAGGTACCTGACTGTACCATGCCAATGATCATAGTTGTCGAGGCAATGACTCAATAAAAAAAATATATATACAATTGGATCGTTGTTTAAACTCCCTGCATCACTTATTGAAATTTAGTTTAAGTCAAAGAGTAAAGGCAAGAGTATACAGACTTGTCTTACTCCTCTTATTATATTTATTTTATCCGAGAGTTCTTCTTCAACTCTTATTCTTGCCACTTGATGCCAGTACATATTTGTAATTATTCGTAAGTCTTTATAATCCAGTCCAGCTGTTTTCAATATTTTTAGCATTGTGTTATGTCGGACCTTGCCAAAAGTCTTTTCAAAATCGTTTACGCAGATGTATACTGTTTGACTTCTATCTCTGCGTCTCGATATTAGTACTTTACTTTGAAATCGAAACGGGCTTCTCTCGTACTCAAGCCACTCCTTAATCGGAACTGAAGATTAGTAATTATCTCTTCTAATATCGTGTATATTCTACTACGTATTACTCGCAGGAATATCTTTAAAACGTGACTCATTAGATTTATTGTTCGGTAATCACTGCATGCCGTTGCATGGCGTTTGGTATTGTGGCAAAAGTAAATTTAAACCAATCAGTTGGTAATATCCCCTTGTAATAAATTCTGTAAAAGAGAAAATGTTCTTTTTGTCTTCTATGTAATTTTTGTGAAAGGGAAATATATCATGTTTCTTCTCATAGTTTTCAATTTCATTGCATCCTTTTTGTATTAAATTGTATTTCTCATATCTTATCTTCTGTCTGATTATTGTGTGAATTCTCTTATATTAATTTTTATATTTATTTTTGACGTACATGATTCCCTTCCAATTCCTATTACTTGCAACAGCAGTATCAGTATCAAGTTAAAGCATATATGAAATTATGCTGATCTGGCTTCTTATTGGATACTAGGAGATATGTAGACGTTTCAATGGTATCCAGGCTGCGATAAAGAAAGCAATGGTAACTATCTTATTAAGAATCCCTAGTCAATCAGCAAGTAAGCAATAGTGTTTAACCCAGCTTGAGAGACTTGCACAACCCTAAGAATGACATTCGGATTATTTCATTGGGGCGAGGATTAACTCGTGTAAACAGGAATCACTCACCTTGCCTCAAAGCTCCAGACCATCAACTCCCCCAACGAAAACACTCTGATGCGCTATAGAGGTTCCCTTATCAGCAATGTGCTTATCATGACAGAGTTCTGGGTATAAGGACTTCCACACGAAATCCTACCATGAACAATGCAGGCCAGTGTAAGGCGCTCTATTCCCGCTATTTCTAGTGCCTTATGGGCTACGCCCAGTTCGGTGACTCGGCACTCGAGGATGTGAGCTCTTCTTGCCCATTTTTTGGATTTTGTTAGTATTTTTTATGTTTTGCGAATTTTTTTATGTTTTATTAATTTTTTGGTGACTAAAGCCGTTTTTTCGTGTTTTTGTGTATATTTTTGATTAACATATAAAGTCTGGATCCAAAATTGGAGCGAGAACTTGAACAAATTGTGCAAGTGTGTATATTAAAACCAGTTATTTTAGTGAGTGAGCATCACCCATTGTTATAGTATCCAAGAAAATCAGAGATGTCAGGATTTTTTCAGATTTTCGCACTAACGTAAATAAAATATGGAATGTAGATCAGTACCCATTGCCAAAGCCCGAAGATATTTTTGCTAGTTTTGCTGGAGGCCCTATGTTTACAGTATTGGATCTTTCTGGAGCATATCAACAATTAACAGTACATCCTGAATACCAAAAATATCTGACAATCAACACACATGTGGGGATGTTTCAGTTCACTAGATTAACATACGGAATAGCTTGTGCTCCAGCACTATTTCAATCAGTTATGGATCAGATTTTATGCGGTATACCAAAAAGTTCACTGTTATTTGGATGACATATTAGTGGAGGGTCTAAAGAGGAAATGTTGAAAAATATTGAGTTAGTTTTAATTATATTGAATCATTCGAATTTCAGAACAAATTCATTCCAATGTTGCCATTTCAGTTACATCCTCTGTATAAATGATTGGAAAAGGGTGTAGAATTCAAGTTTAATCAAGAGGCACGTGATGCAAGTTCCTATGGAGTAGATGGTGTTCTCAGTCATAGGGAACATGCTGTAGAAAAACCAATATGCTATGCTTCTAGTTTGTTATCAAAAGCCGAACATTATTCACAATTGGAGAGGGAAGCTTTAGCGATTCTATTTAGTGTAAAAAAATTTCATAAAAATATATATGGTAGATCATTTACTCTGGTATCTCATCATCAACCATTAAAAATTATTTTTAATCCAAATAAAAATATTTCAGTTATCTCAGGTTTCAGAATTATTCGTTGGAATATTATATTATCAGCTTATGATTATGAGATAGAACATAGAAAAGGTTCGCAACTTTTTGAAGCAGATATGTTATCCAGATTACCCTTAAATGATTCTACTGAAGTTGATAGTGGAATTAATGCCTTTAACTTAACAGATTAATTACCAATTAATTATCAGAACATTGCCAAGGTGTCCAGTAAAGATCCAGTACTAAGGAAAGTAATAGATTATGCCAAAACAGGTAGGTCCATGTCCTAGTATATAATAATACACAGCAAAATAAATAATAGGTATACTTTGTTACCAGTTAACAAATAAAAATATGTAACAAACTAAAAAAAGTCATTCTCATTTTATGGAATAACATAATACATAATAAATACGCCTCTGTCGCTCTGTCTATAGATAAAACTGCAGTCGAATAAAGTTCATCCAATATTATAACTTAAAACATAATAAATACACCTCTGTCGCTTGTCTATAGATAAAAGTGCAGTCCAAACCAAACAATAAAGTTCATCCAGTATTATAACTTAAAACTTATTACCTCTTGTATGCATTTTGTAATTAGTTCCGAGTATGGGATAGCTTTTAGGTCCAGGAATATCATCCAAATATTTCCATACTTCCTCATATCTTTTTTTCTTTTTAAAATAGTAACTAATGAACAGCGGTAAGAGTAACACTAGTATCAACAGAATCATTTTCTTTAACACTTTAGACTATGACATTGCAGTTGAGTGTGTAGCGAGTAGCGAGAGAAAAAAAAGTAGCACGATCGGCATCACGTTTCATTTAACCAGGGACGGATTTTACAAATCGTAACCATATTTTTCTGCAACTATTTTTTTGATTTGATTTACATTCTTTGTAATTATTCTTTGGAGCAGAAGCGGTGAATGCCTAGGTTAATACGCAGATATGTTTCTCAATATTGTTTAGTTTTGGATGCACTATCACTACACAATACATTTTTTTAGTAATTTATGAAGGACAATACAAGACAAGAAATCACGCCTTGTTTGTCTATTCTGGCGATAAATCTTGACAAGCCTTAGTCTTAAATCTTGGTTAATATATTCCGACTAGTTTATGAACCAGGAACAGACGAGAGGAAAGAGACCTACGATTCTTAAAGTTAAAGATGCAGTTAAAGAGCTAGCCAGAAACAAATCACCCCGAATAGATCATCTCCTAGCTGAACTATATAAAGAAGGTGGCCATGATACCATAATGGCATTATAGCAGTTTATAAAAGAAATATGGACACAGAAATCCCTCCCCAATGATTGGAATACTTTGCACTATATACAAAAAAAGATATCTTTGAATGCTTTAACCACAGAGGAATTATGCTTCTAAATGCAGCGTATAAAATATTTTCCACAGTACTATGTCACCGCATGGCACGATATTCAAAACGGATAGTAGAAAAACACCAGGCTGGTTCGAGATGTGGTAAATCGACAATTTCTCAGATTGCAACCCTGAAACAAATTTTAGAAAAAACACTGGAAAAATAACTCTTGAAAAAGTTGAATGTAGAGTACGAATTTAGGGGAAACTGCCTCAACCTTTTACAACAAATAACGGGCTGCGTCAGGGAGACCCTCTCTCCTGTATACTATTCAATCTGGCTCTGGAAAAAGTAATACGTATATCACAAATCACAACCACTTGTTCAATATATATTAATCAGGGCAAATCCTGGCGTACGAGAGGCGTATGTAGCATTGAAAGAATCAGCTACACAAATGTGTTTAATAATAAACACCAACAAAACGAAGTATATGAAAATAAGCACGCAACTACAAATCCTACGACTACTTGTTATAGAAAACGACGTAGTGAACGAATTTGTATACATGGGAGCGGTCCTTAACACTGAAAATAATACTACCGCAGAGATAAACCGCAGAATTTGCACGGCCAACAGATGCTATTTTGAGCTTAATCTTCTCCTTAAATCCACAATTATATCGAGAAATACAAAAATAAAACTCTACAAAACAATAAATACCCAGTCCTAACATATGGTTCAGAAACCTGGACTCTAACAAAAAATAATGAAAACATGTTAGGGTGTTAAGAAAGAAAAATACTAAGGCGAATCTATGAATCTAAGGAGCAGTGAATGACAATGGAGTGTGGAGAAGATGAAACAACTTCGAACTTTATAGAATATACAAGGAACCTGATATCGTAAAACATATTAAGATAGGACGTCTGAGGTGGATTGGGCATGTAATGCGTATGGAGCAAAATGACCCAGCTAGAAAAACGCTCCTTCATAGACCCATTGGTCAGAGAAGAAGAGAAGACCCAGAACAAGGTTCCTTGATAACATTGGTGAAGACATGAGAAATATGGAAATACGTGCCTGGCGGAGAAAGGCGATGGATAGGGGCGACTGTATTGTAACATATTGTTACCCTTCTTTTGATATCTTCTTCTGTCGATACAAGTATTACTACATCGACCTTGGTACTTGGTCAAATGCTTTTTTCATCATTTAGAAAAGCTAGGTATGGCTTTTGTCCTCTCGATAGCTTTCTGTTGATTATCTCATTGAACGTAAAAATATGATTCTGTGTTCATCTACCAGGTCTAAAACCACTTTTGGATTCATCTAGTATTGGTACCATTCTACGTCTCAGTTTCTTTTCTAATATTTGTTTGCATATTTCCATTACTGAACTAAGCATGGTAATTCCTCTGTAGTTACTGCAATTCTTATTTACTATCGTCTATCGCCCTTCTTCAAGATAGGTAAAACCAAATCTATAATCCTTTTACCCTATGACGGCCGATATGTAATTAAGATATGATTCAATGGGCCAACAGTGGATCGTTAATATTTAATTCCGATCGCTTGACAAAAATCAATCAAAAGAGAACATTGGGCCAAATTCACTTGCGACATGGACTACGACCTATATGGTGCCCAAAAGAAAGTATGGAAAATGCTCCGCAACAGGAAAAAACCAGTTAACGAGTTCGTGCAGACCAAAGGAGTACCTATAGAGACATGGCAACAGCATTTTAAAGAGCTATATGATGCTGAAGAAACGCTGAATATAAACGAAGGCGAAACAGATGTGAGTGCTACAATCAATGACGAAGAAGTAGAAGCAAAGATCAAAAAGCTAAAAAACAGAAAATCACCGGGAACGGATGGTATACCCAATGAACTTTTAAAATATGGAGGCCCGGAACTTGCAAGTAAACTGGCACAACTATTTAACAAAATATTAAACAAAACAAAACACCAGAGGAATGGCATAATAGTATCACAATCCCCATATTTAAAAAAGGACAAAAAACCTGCCCACAAAACTATAGAGGAATAACCCTCTTAAATACAACAATGAAACTTTTCACGGGTATTCTCAAGGACAAATTGGAAAAGCAAATCACTAATGCTGAAGAACAACAAGGTTTTACAAAAGGGCGGTCTATAACAGACGCAGTATTTATAATAAAACAAATAAAAGAAAAAGCTATAGAGTTCGGCATGCCAGCGTATATTTGCTTCATTGATTTGACGAAGGCATTTGACAGAGTTCGCCTGGGAGACATTCTAAATATATTAATAGAAAATGAAACACCGACCAGTATAACAAAGATACTCCATAACCTAAATAACAACAACGTAACCAAAGTTAGAGCAGGAGACGAATTCACTGAAAATATTCCAACACCGGGAGGAATTAGACAAGGCGACAGTTTAAGCCCCTTCTTGTTTAATCTTCTCATGGGCAAAATTATCAACAAAGTAACATCTCTTAATCTCGGATATAGAATGGGCAACAAAAGAATTGGTATGGTGTGTTACGCAGACGATGCAGCAATTATTGCCGAATCAGAAGATGATCTCCAAAGGCAGCTCTTTCAGTTCTTTCAAACAAGCCGACTACTAAATATGAACATCTCTACCAACAAAACTAAATGTATGACAATAGCAAAAGATCCGCTCAGATGTAAGTTAGTGGTTGAGGACAACCCCATAGAACAGGTGATGCAATTCAGATATCTGGGCATAGATATATCAAGCACCCACGACCCAGTAAAGGACCTGAGGAGTCAAATCAACAAAGCATCTGCACTGTCAGGATGTCTGCGGGAGATAGTCTGGTCAAATCCGTATATGCGCACAGATAGTAAAATTAGAATCTATAAGACTTGCATACGACCGATCATGACATATGGCATAGAAGTGCGCGAAGATACCAACAAAACGAAACAGATGCTAAGGGTTGCCGAAATGAAAACCCTAAGAACAATAATGGGGAAAACAAGAAGAGACAGAGTGAGAAATACAAACATTAGAGAGCAGTGCAAAATTCAAGATATTGTAAGATGGGGAAGGCAGCGCAAGAGGATGTGGTACAACCATGTAAGACGAATGGATGAGAATAGACTCCCAAAATCCCAAAAATTGCCCTAGAAAACAATCCGCCCGGTTCAAGACCCCCCGGAAGACCACCTAAAAGATGGAGGGATAGTTGGCAATCTACCTCCCAAGAAATTAACCAGAGGCAGCTTCAGAATTAAACAGATCGAAAGATCTACAAAAAAAGTAGAAGAAGAAGCTTGACAAGTAAAAATATTGAATTTTCTGTATTTTATGTTCAGTAATAATATTAGATTTTACTGTATCAAAGGCAAATAAAATGAATATAATATGTATATACAGGCGTGTTAAAAGAAGTGGGACAGAATATTTCGAATACTCGAAATTATTTGTCGACATCAAATGTTCATCAAGGTCTCTATAAGTCTCTATTTTGCGTAGAGTGAAAATTATACGAATGGTTTTGCATGCAGTTAAATTGGAAAATACTTGCCAAGTTGCTGGTATGTCCAAATTTGAATAAAATACATCCAAGACTTTACTTTCTGCAGACACTGTATTAAATATAATCTTGAAACAAATTGGCACTAAATCACTTCCGAGTTTTCAGCAAAACAAAAGTGTTTAAACACGTGTAGTCCAGTAATTAATACCAAAGCTATTGAGAGTATGCAGTCCAGTAATTAGACCGAAGGTACTTTATCGTTTAACTAAAACACACCACAAAGTCCGAATTGAATTCCCAAAACACTTTTTTGTTACTTCTTTTTAGCAAACGATTTGTCCTATTCACTGTCTGATATTTCACTATTAGAGTCGTCACTATCTGAATTGTCTATCCGAATAATTAGAGGCCGGCCTCATCTATAACTCGCTCGGTTTGAAATGACTGAACGATTATGTCTTCCGTATGTCTAATACAATTTTGCGATTGTTCTGCCTTTATTTGTTATAGCGATTCTTTCCATAAACGTTATCTGTTGTTTTGGATGCATGTTTATCATAAAAATTTTTGGCTATACCCCAAACTAACTCATTTGCATTATAGTAGCAATGGTAGGGCAGAAGTCGACGAACTTCATGGCCATATTTAAGAGCCATTTGGTCACTAACAAATTTCTTTTGAATTTTGTGCTCTCCACACCTTTGAAGTACCCATATTTCCATGGTAATCACCTGTATTCTTTGTGACGAAAAAATTAAACTAGCGTCAGGATTAAAACCCTCATCATTTCCAGCATGAAGTATAATGTAGCGTTTACCATTACCGGAACGATTAGAAGAATAACATTTCGTGGTGCCATCTTGCCAGGATGATTTTGACATATTTCCTTTAGCGAAAATACAAGTTTCATCTAAAAATACAACTT